CACACACACACTCTAGTAGCATGGTATGCTGCTAGACTAGTCCCAGAACTAAGAGGCATGAGTTATGAGGAAAGGCTGCGGGAAATGCACCTTACGACACTGGAAGACAGAAGAGTAAGGGGGGACATGATCACAACCTACAAAATCCTCAGGGGAATCGACCGGGTAAACAAGGATGAACTATTCAACACTGGAGGGACGCGAGCAAGGGGACACAGGTGGAAGCTGAGTACCCAAATGAGCAACAGAGACATTAGAAAGAACTTTTTCAGTGTCAGAGTAGTCAGTAAATGGAATGCACTAGGAAGTGATGTGGTGGAGGCTGACTCCAAACACAGTTTCAAATGTAGATATGATAAACCCCAGTAGGCTCAGGAATCTGCACACCAGTTGATTGACGGTTGAGAGGCGGGACCAAAGAGCCAAAGCTCAAGCCCCGCAAGCACAATTAGGTGAGTACAATTACTTGAGTACACACACTTACACACACACACACCGAACGAATTATTGAATCACTAATATTATTGTAGCTCATTGAATACGAAACGTTTACGAAATGCTCCTTAAAAATGTCTTATGATAATGCTTTAAATCAATTCGTTTCTAATTACACTAAAGCAATTAGAGAGAGATGCAAACTATCTGGTGCAGATAATCAAAACTCTCAGGTAATGAACGTCCGTTTGTTTCACGTCACGACCCGAAACGTAAATATTGGAGTCGTATAATTAGTCAGACTTTGATCCCAGGTTTAATTGTTGGATTATGTCTCGTTCTCTAATTAAATGCTGGAGTTCATATATAATATATATATATATATATATATATATATATATATATATATATATATATATATATATATATATATATATATATATATATATATATATATATTATATATATATTATATAATATATATCTATATATATATATATATATATATATATATATATATATATATAAATATATATATATATATATATATATATATATATATATATATATATATATATATATATATATAATATATTTATTTATTTATTTATATGTTTCTCTAGGTATATCTCCCTTCAACTCAGAATGCAGATGTTTAAGATGATACACATTGAGCATCATACTCGGGTTACTGGGTTATGGTTGATAGCTGGAGAGTATTTCACTTGGCAATAAAGTTAACATGGAGGGAGGCTGTAGCTTAAGCCTATAGTAAGGAGAACAATCCGTCATCCCGGTAATTGTTCTAGTGATAAGGTGGGAACGCCTGAACATGGCAGATGCCTCCCTTGGTGAACCTGTACTGATGGAAGTATGGAAGCTGCCTGGCTGATGTAGCGTTTAATGGCCTCCACCACTTTAAACTTCCTCTCTCACATTCCTGCCACTTTCCCTCAAGCTACTTTCACTCCATCTCTTTCTCTTCCTCTCCCTTTACACATTGCCTCTATCTTTCTACCTCCTAATTGTCTCTTGAGCTTAGTTTGTTTTCCTTGCTTGTATAAATTCTTCCTTGAGTCTGTTATACAATAATATTTGTAATGTTTTATTCTGTGTAGAGTTTCCATTCATTACTCTGTCACATTTCGTTCTTATCTATTCCAATAATGTGTAGACATTTATGTTGATTTATGAGTCTTTGAGTTCCGTTGTCCAGGTGTCTTGAACTTTCAATCAGTTCAAAAAATCAGCTTTATAACTGCAAGCTTGTCTTTCTGTCTGCGTGTTTCCCTGTTTTTTTATTTCTCTCCTCTTTCAGTAATTCATTATCATATTATTTTCTCATTGTCCAGGTGATGGACGAGAGGTGGGAGGAGGATGTGAAGGAGTACGGGGCCGTCAACATCACGGGGTTCAGGATAGTGGACACCACCCGCCCTTACATCAGGGACTTCCTTAAGACGTGGACGGCTTTGGACTCCACTTTGTACCCTGGAGCCGGTGGAAACTACATATCGGTGAGTATTCCACACGGATATTGTTTCCTCTCCTTCATCTTTCTTTTTATCCATCTGGTGTTTTGGCTTCTAGTTTGTCAAGGGTAATTTTCCAGCCCGTTCTAGCGAACGTCAAGAAACTGTGGTACTAAAGTACCCTATCATAACCTACCAGAGCATTCACGAACAGAAAATGGGACATTTATATATATATATATATATATATTATATATATATATATATATATATATATATATATATATGTGTATATATATATATGTGTATATATATATATATATATATATATATATATATATATATATATATATATATATATATATATATATATGTGTATATATATATATGTGTATATATATATATATATATATATATATATATATATATATATATATATATATATATATATATATATATATATATATATATATATATATATATATATATATATATATATATATATGTGTATATATATATATGTATATATATATATATATATATATATATATATATATATGTCGTACCTAGTAGCCAGAATGCACTTTTCAGCCTACTATGCAAGGCCAGATTTGCCTAATAAGCCAAGTTTTCTTGAAATAATATATTTTCTCTAATTTTTTCTTATGAAATGATAAAGCTACCCATTTCATTATGTATGAGGTCAATTTGTTTTATTTTAGTTAAAATTAATGTAGATATATGACCAAACCTAACCAACCCTACCTAACCTAACCTAACCTATCTTTATAGGTTAGGTTCGGTTAGGTAGCAGAAAAAGTTAGGTTAGGTTAGGTTAGGTAGGTTAGGTAGTCGAAAAAACATTTATTCATGAAAACTTGGCTTATTAGGCAAATCAGGCCTTGCATAGTAGGCTGAGAAGTGCGTTCTGGCTATTAGGTACGACATATATATATATATATATATATATATATATATATATATATGTATATATATGTATATATATATATATATATATATATATATATAAATATATATATATATATATATATATATATATATATATATATATACTAGAAATCTTTACTAGAAATCCTAGTAAACAACACAGAAATCATCGATAGATACAGCGATAGCAGGCGGCTTGACGTTTGCGAGGCACTACACATCAAGAAGTCAACACCAGCAATCAACAGCCAATTATTGCACAACTATATTCTACCCACCTCAAGACTCCGCTCCAATATAGAAGCATCAAGAAATATGGACCAATAGGCTTTCTACAAACACTTCTATTCAATACCCATTGTTTGTGTTCTGTCTTGTGTTGATACTTTTAATACCCTATTAATATCCCCTCTTGTTCTGTCTTGTGTTAATGCCACATCACCCCTCCCACCTCACTCAAATGTAGATATAAAATCGGAGATACGTAAGTTCTAATCAGTTGAGTATTTGTGAACTAAAGTCTTTGAAAATGTAATAAGTTTTACGAAACGCGCCCGTGTCGCGTCAGACTAGAAACAAAAATGAATTTTGGAGAATTAATTTTTGATTTACCTCCAACAGTGAAGCGTAATGTACGAAAGATTGAGAAAATTCGTGTTAGAATTATTAATCTTACTTTTTCGGTCATATTTAATAATATATAAATATATATATATATATATATATATATATATATATATATATATATATGTGTATACATATATATATAATCTGAAAATCATTCCGAAGAAAAGAACTCAGCTATGCATTGTAAATCGTTTGTAAATGAACAAGCTATTGAACAAGTGTATGGAATCACTCGAGCTTATTCTGGTTCTCTGGTTATAAGCTCCACTGTAAAGAACGTAGTTCTTGTTGAACAGTTAAAGCTTTACTTTCTGCTCAATATTGAAGTAAACACCACTTCCAGTAAGTGATTTTATTTCAGTGTTTTATTTTAATTCTATTACTAAATGTAATATATTAAAGAGATTGATAGATGCGTTACAGTGAAATATATATGAAGTTAGCTATCGAAGTACAAGCTGCAACAATTATTTTTATTCTCTTAATATGGAAGACGGGAGAGATTCGTCAAATTCACGTTGCAAGAATGATTCAAGGTACAATAAACAAAATCTGAAAAGATTATAACAAAAGTAAAATATTAATTACAAACAAATTTGGATTATCTGATACAAAAGAATTTGCAGAATTAGCAGAAGATTTACTGATTAAACAATATATTCAGTAGACTGTCGGAAAACTCATTAAACATATGCTCCCAAACTATTAGCTGTTAATACCATCCAAACAGAGTGTTATATAGAAGTGACAATAACGCATTCAAGTTCAATATAACATTGAAGAATTGCGATAGAAAACTGTGTTTGGATCTCAGAATTCAGCAAAGCTGATTATGAGTACTTAAAGCAGAGCTTCATGCATGTTGTCTGAGAAGGCCTTGGACCAGGAGGGAGGACAGTCCTTGGACCAGAAGGAGGACAGTCCTTGGACCAGGAGGGAGGACAGTCCTTGGACCAGGAGGGAGGACAGTCCTTGGAGCAGGAGGGAGGACAGATTTGGGACTAGGAAGAAAGACAGACCTTGTACTTGTAGGCAGGACAAGGCATGTACTCTTAGAAAGGGCAGACCACGGTCTTAGACTCTTCAAGTGTTCAACCTTAGATTCGGAGATTCATGCGGAATTTTCATCTCCCCCAACTAAACTACGTAATTCATTTCAAGTGTTCGCTACACCAAGGACACGCACAGGTGAACTTAGGGACCAGACAGACGTCAGTACGCGACACTGTTCCAGCTGCCGGGGGCCCGACACTTAAAAATATCGAACTAAAAGGCCAAAGACATAAAATTCCAAGAAAATTACTGTAGTCCAGTCGAATGACAAACGCCCAAAAAGTGCAAAAGTGAGATAAAGGTTCAAAAGTGCAAAAGTCAGAGAGAGAGAGAGAGAGAGAGAGAGAGAGAGAGAGAGAGAGAGAGAGAGAGAGAGAGAGAGAGAGAGAGAGAGAGAGAGACAGACAGAGAGAGAGAGAGAGAGAGAGAGACAGACAGAGAGAGAGAGAGACAGACAGAGAGAGAGAGAGACAGACAGAGAGAGAGAGATTATGTAAAGCGCGTGGCCCAAGGCGACACCAAGGAACATAATAACAGGCACTCAACGTCCACTGTTAGTACGAGGGAGGAGAAGGGGGGGGACTTGTGTAGAGGGAGTGAGAGGGGGGAGGCGAATGGTGGTGGGGACAGAAGAGGGCGAGGTGGGGGCCTGAAGCACTCCCTTGGGTGCTGTAGATGTGTGACACCCTATTGTTTACCTAGGACTCGCCTACACCTGAGAAATTATCGCCTGAAACGAAAATGTTATGTTCTCTCACAACCCCTTGTACCTTCTTGTATATAAATAAATAAAAAAATGAACCTGCACTTTTTCCGTACCCGTATCTCTCCGTCTGAAAAAAGAAGAGAGAAGGAGAATCAAAATTTTAATTCTTAAACATTCACAGACGATCGCTGTTTGCTAAACCATAGGTGTGCAGATTATAAAGACGATTTCTAAGTCTTTTGTGTGCAGATTATAGAACCCTTTCTAAGCCATTGGTGTGCAGATTATAGAAAGTTTTCAAAGCCTTTGGTGAGCGCTTATTAAAGAATGTTTCTAAGCCATTGGAGTGCAGATTATAGGAAATTTCTAAGCCACTTGTGTGTTGAAAAGTGTAAGTTTTCTAAGTCATTGGTGTGATATTAGTTTCTAAGTCATTGGTGTGATACTAGTTTCTAAGTTACTGATGTGCTTTTTAAGATTTAATTATTATAGATTTGTTCTGTATATATAAGCATTTTGCGAATTATGAAACTATTGTTACACCAGTTTTGTAAGAATTTCGGAAAGATGTTAATCAAATGGAATGCTGATCATTGGATGTTAACTGGACCATTAATGTCGCGTCATAGAATGTTCTATAAGCTCAACATAATTAAATAACGAATGGTGTGCGGTTTATCGGAAGTAAATTAGTGATGTGGGAATCCTAATCTCTAACCCAGTGGAGTGAGAATCTGATCAACTTCGCTAAATGGATATAACAAAATCACTCCCATGTCCAGATAATGGCAAGAATATGTTTAAACTCTTTTGTTTGTGTTGGAACGAGATTTACTAAGTTTATTTAAACAGCAATAAAGACTAGATCAAGAGCTCATTACGAGGAATTATAACCATTTCACTACACTAAAGTGAGTGGTTAGGAGACCATAGTAAGATAGTTAACCTATCTGAGCAAACTACATTATTTTCAAAATTAATAGTTTCTATCCAAAATGAGGTTCAGCTACTCACATGTCAGACAAATTCTGAAAATTGGAGCCCCGTCAGGGATGTGTTGTTCGATTGTAGCTAGAAATTGTACAGGGGTGTTCCACTAGACTAATACCATATCTGAGAGGTTTTAAGTTTGTTGATATATTAAATGAATTAAAGCTCACGTCACTGGAAAATAGAAGAATCAGGAGTGACATGACTACGATTTGCAAAATTCTCAGAGGAAATAAACAAGCCAGACTATTTAGAAGGATTATTTAGAACGAATGGTTCACCAGCAACGTTACTCGTCTGCAAGCTAACTACTCAAATGAACCTCTACGACAATTGCTGTTGTCTGTGTCAGGGCAGAGTATTAATATAATGGCCGTGAATGAAGTGTGGAGGCAAACTCAAAACACATTCTCCTGGACACAATTAGATTGATAATTAATAGACGTAGTTAATTAGCTGAGACTCATCCCCCTGCAAGAGTAGACGAATGAGTGAAACGCAATTTGTTTTCTCTTTTTGCACATGACCTCGAGTTCTTAGACAGGAATAAGCCTTGAACAGTTTACTGATTAAAAAAAATCCAAATTTGTTGTTAGCGTACAGTCAAAACTTAAAAATTTCCATTATCCATAGAAATTTATCGTTCAGCTTACAATATCCATAGACTTCTTTCACAAGAAAAAAAATTCCCACACGTCGGCTATCATCATATATGAGCCAA